TAAGTGTCAAGGTGTACAGATCTTACTGCTTTGGCAAAGCATCTTGAGACAATCTGAATCTCCCTGCATGACGTAGGATGGGGAAGGGGCTTCAGTGGAAAGAGATTTTCACGCCAAATCAAGCTTGTGTTGAAATAGTATCTAGAACTAGGAAGTGTTCATTAGGTTGATGGCTGCTGGTTCCTGTTAGCTGTAAAAAAAAAGATTTTTTGCTTTTCATATGATAGTTTTGGGGTTTTTTGGCCAAATCTTGGCATCTTGTTCAGTAGCTGGGAGAAGAAGCTTGGGAAGAAACAAGCAACAAACTTCTTCATTGGCTTTTTAATTCCATTTGTTCTAGACAAATTTCCCTTTACAGCTGCAAGGAATAAATTTATCATAACCTGTATAATTTTTCATCTCAGTTTGTATAAAAGCAAGCCTTTCAAAAAGTGGCACAAAGTTACTTTGGAATTTAACATGGTAACAAAAATTACAGGATAGGAAAAAAAAACCTTTTTAAAAGCATAGCTTTCTGCTGAGAATCTGTCAGATGGCACAAGCTATTTACCTGTATTAAATACCGCTGATCCTCTTGCTTGAAATGCCTCTCTATATTATATAACTTTCTGTTGGAAATTAACGAATCTGCTACTGTGAAAAGCTGTTTGCAACCACCACCATCCTGGTTTACAAACATTTATTGAAATTGAAGTTTCATTTTTGTTTTAGTAGTAATTTCAGATACGTGGCGGCGGCTAATATTTCGAGAAGGCTCCAATGTTATCTTTCCCTATATAATTGTGAATTGTAGCAAATGTTTTGCCCAAGCCTAGTAATGGCTCATTGTGATATGTTTACAATATCTAGCTTCATGGCTTTTGCTCTGGAGGCTGTTTGCACAGAGAATTGGTTCTTCAAGGGAAGCCTTATTGCTTTTTAAAATTATATCTTTCTCTGCTTTTTTTACTTGGAGTAGCTAAGATTTGCCTGGACTATAGACCCAAAACAATTGTTTTCTTTCTAATGAGGTACTAGAGGTAGTTGTTGTTTTGCATTCTCTCTTTCCCTCTCAATTAAATATCAGGGCTGTCTTAACAACACTCCGAGTT